AAAAAAAAAAAAATATTAATAGGAAAATGTAAAATTCTCAATTATTACTTCTACATGGAAGGAAGATTCCAATACTTAAATGCATGAAACAAGCTCCTAGGCATAAGCCACATATTGAATGGAACACATATCAAGATAAGCATAGCATTTACTAGCATAATGTGAGGCAATGAGTTGAGGCAAGATCCAGTGTAGGTCTAATCTCATGTGAAGCTTGAATAAGATTTAAGTTAAGTTAAGATTTAAGTTACTCAAGATGACCAAGTCAAACTACTGCTCAGTATAAAATGACAATGGTGCAACATAGAGATGATAAACCAAAAAATATAGCATAGTTCAATAGAACATTCCAAATGAATACCTGAAAACAGGAGGTTTTGTTTCTAACATTTTGAAAGTAAAATTGTTATAAGAGAAAAATCTGCCGACGCAGAAATCAATTGCAAAGTCTTTAAACATACCTGTAGCAAACAATAGATAAATTAATAAACCAAGATTTACAACTTAAAAATGCTAAAAAACATAATGTTCACCAGCTTTTACCATGGCATGTGGCTCAACACAGAAAAATTTGTAGAACTCTATACGAAAACTATTTAGCAGGGGATAAATGGTAACACACTGTAACCATGATGAAGCATGGATTCACCTAAATGATCATAACAGAATATATTATATATTATCAATAAAGAAGAGAGAAAGAAATGTATAAACTTGGTTCCATCATCAATGAAAAGATTGTTTCAGTAAGGAGTTTATGATTGTCGCAAGATTTTCTTACAGTTGGAAATTAAAAATAAGAATACAAAAAAATGTTAAATTAAACTGAATGTAGTATCAAGAAAAACTTTTAGGTTTAATATTTACAAAGGAAATCCCATTCCATTTCTTTATCACACTTAAAATGTCACGGCATTCTTTGAAAAAATGCAGACTGATACAGAAATCAATATATTCCTGCAAAGTCCCCTTATATTTCACCTATAGACCATTATGTCTATAGTCTCTTGAAAAGAGCTCTTTTTAACATAAACCCACCCCGACTGATAACCCTGGAAAGTAATGGAAACCAATACCCTTCGAAATTTTATGAAAAGCTTTTCCAGGGTTCATACACATTTCTGCGCATGAAAATTAAGTACTTTTAAGGACCATTAATGAAAAAAATTAAGGACCTATGAGCAAATGGGAACTGAATAAATTCAATTAAAAATGTTATCTATGCCTGAATTTCACTTTTGTGATATCATCCTAAAAATAAAATAGATCTTTAAGTAGTCTGCATTATTACTAAACATGAATTAATTAACATAATTATTAATAAGTTTGAGAATAAAATAAACTTTATGCAATTTATCAAGTAGCATTAAATATTTTACACTCAACAACAGATGGACATATTTGAAAGAAGATAAGTGACATTTACGTTTTACTCACAATTAGCTTTATGTTGATTTTTTTAAATGTCTGATTTTGTCACGTACTTGGTTAGTCTAGAGGTTGAGTAAAATAGCAGGTAGATTTTATGTCAAACGGTATAGGTTAAAATGAGAAGTAAGATCATAATCAGCATGATTCAGAACAAAAGACTGAATTCAGAACCCAAACAAAAATCAGCATTATATTCACAAAATTTTCACTATGAAAATTTTGAAAATATAACGCTGATTTTTGTTGTTTGAGTTCTGAATTATTATTTGTTCGGCATGTTATTTTGTCTTAAAAGACTGAATGTAGTTACTGCTGCTTGTCTAGAGAAAGACCTGCTCATTAGAACAAACCTGAAAGGCCTGATGTAGGTTCGCAAGTGTTGAAAGTTAGTCGGGCTCTGTTTGATGCAGTTAGTGTCAGCTTCGTTTAGAGTTTCAGGGGTTGTAACCCAGTTAATATACTTTAAAGTTCCAATAAGCTATTAAAGCACCACAGTTGATAAGTTGTATTGTATTATTTTAAGTCTCACTAGATGCAAAGAATAAGTTTTACTTGAATTTTTACGTTTTTGTGTTTTATGTTGTGACCACAGTGAGTATAAATGAAAGGCAATAACTCACTTTAATACGTAGAGATAAATTTTAAAGGCAAGCAGTCAGTTATAAATAATTAAATTAGGTAATTAGATAACCTTAGTCATTATGGATTTACATGGCCCCAATTAAATTTTATTTTTTAGCAATATTTGTTAAAAAAGACCAATTAAAATTAAAATCTAATCAAATTTCACAGTTTAAAATGCATGTAATTTATAACATTGATTCTTAAACGATATTAGGATAATTACACATTAAAAGCTACAACAATACTCAACAAAACACTCAACAAGAACACTCAACAAAATATTCATCCGTCATTTTAATTTGAAGCCTTCCCAAACATTTTGGCTATTTTATATCGATTTCCTTCTCTTTAAGCATCTTTTCTAAGAATTAGAGATTTGTCTCAAAATGCAAACCAATGCTCTCGCTAGTTTCTGCATCAACCTAACTGCTTTATCTCCTTCAACCTAACTGCTTTATCTCCTAACTTGACAACCTCTCTACAATGTACCTATGATTGTTTACTTGATCTGGTAAAAGTTAAATAGTCGAAAACCCCCAAATGATGTGAAGCAAACTATCGCTATGTCTGAAAATAACTAAAATATCAGACAAAGGTTTAAATAAGCCTCTTATATAAAAAGACCATAGAATACAAAGGCATGTTCTGATGCTAACAAAATCATTTACAGCTCACGGTGACGTAATTAAACAAGAACAGTCAAATTCAAACTAAAAGTGTCGACTAGTGGGTCAAAGATTATACAATTTAATTTAAATTTAATCTGCCTCAGTAACTCTATCAAATGAGGAAATAGAAATGGGAAATTATAGTAAAGGCAGAAATCATAAACAATTGGGTAATTTACATAATAATAACTGAACATTTTCTTTGAAGAATAATGTTCTTTGTCGTTATTATTTTCTTTCTTCAACACGTTTCCTTTTCATTTTAGAATTTTTGGATTTAATTAAAGATTTCCATTATTCTAAAAAACATGAAATGCATTTAGAATATATAGAAAATTTATAATTTTATTTCTTTAGTATTATGAACATTCAGAAGAAATATATTATGGTAAATATCTTCTTCTAGAATCGTGGGATATAAGCATTTCGAAATTCATTTCTCTAATAAAGAGTTCTTAAACAACTTTTCGCTTTTGGAGATGTGAATTCTTTTATTAAACGGTTCTAAATTTGGCGACTTATCAACATTTTGGCAATACCTTCAAATCCTTCTAACTTTCCAATATATAACCTTCATAACCAATCATATAACCTTCAAATCCTTCTAACTTTCCAATATATAACCTTCAAATCCTTCTAAACTTTCCAAGCCGCAATGACTAAAATACTAAAGAAAAATTACCTCTACCAATTCAGTAACAGCAAAAAGCTAGAAATATTTTGGAAAAAAAAAGGAGGGAAAAAGTGTAAAATTAATTATATAGAGAAAACTGATGCACATACTCTGAGAATTTTGAATATTCTGAGACAATTACATGGGAAAAACTTTTACTATGAAAAAATTAAAAACCAGATATTTTTAACTAATTACATAGCTAATTTTGCTCTTTGCTAAGAGTCATTTCGTAAATTGTACTTTATAGCATTATACCTTCTTTATTTTTATCCTTTATCACAAAGTCAAAATCTTAAGTCAATTATCTTAATTATCTTAAGTCAAAATATTGTATAATAAGTTGCCCAAAATGAGAATTTTATAATATGACAGCGAAAATTAAAAATGTTTTATTTTAATGTTATTTTTTAAATATAATTTCAATATATTACCATTATTTTAATGAAATTTATCAATGTTAGGATGTTTTAAAAAAAATCGTCCAAAAATTCTCAGATCTCAGAATTACAAATTTTCTAAAGAAACTGATCTTAAAATCGCCAAAATGTTGATAAGTCGCCAAATTTAGAAACGTTTAATAAAAGAATTCACATCTCCAAAAGCGAAAAGTTGTTTAAGAACTCTTTATTAGAGAAAATAAATTTTGAAATGCTTAGAAACTCGAGTATCCCATCAATTATATTAGAAACAGAAACAAATTATAACCCATAAACCCATTCAAAAGATAACCATATATGTTTAAGTTGCTTCGTTTTATGTGCTAATACTTTCTCTTTAATTCTATATACAGACATAATTTCTTGTTTAGTTACAAAGTTTCCCGCTGTTCAAGTCCTGTAATTGCTGTGCCGAGAATATCGACTAACTTGTCAATCGAAATTTTTTTAGTTTTCACTAACCTCTCTGTCACTTTCTGCATGCCTTTATCCATTTTTTGCAGAATTTTCACTTTTTTTTTTTTAATGGACATCGAAACATACTTTCGCTTTGTAGATCCTTTGGCAGCTCGAGAATCAAAACTCTTTTTGACATAATTGAAAGTTCAAGCTTACGTTTTATAAAATTGCTCTAACAGTCTGCAAAAAATAATAAGCTGGATCCAATTAGAAGATTAAGGAACAAAGCAATCTGCAACATTAACTGAACTAGATAATTAGATAATTTTAGCCTAGCTTATACTGTCCGTTATACATCGCACATGCGTAAACGTATTATGCACATGCATATAGGTATTATGTGCATGCGTAAAAGCTACACATGCGCATAATACCTTTATGCATGTGCATAATACATTTACTAAGCTAAGTTTGTAGCTTTGAGGTCCGGATTATAGATCATTCTGGATTATGGACATCTCGATTAAAGACTTTGTACTGTATCAAATAATGAAAATAAATAAATGAAATTAACATTATAATATATTTTTTTTAAGAAAATCAATTTCGTAAGATTTTTTTTTCCAATGTGAACCAAAAGTAACTTATTTTTTTTAACGAAAAAGCTAATTTTTTTTTTTTTTTATAATTACTTTGAAATTTTCAGTATTTATACAAAATACATTTAATTTCAACTGAGCCCAACTAGTTAAAAAAAATACATACGTGTCTCTTTTTATCTCTCCATGTTTCTAAAAGAGTCTGATATTCGTGAATTTTCTGCCTAGCTTCTTGTAAATCATTTTTCACTTTTTCTTCAAAAGTTGTGATTTGAGTTAATTTGTTCACCAAAACTTCTAACTGTGGAGGTTCATTTGATAATGACTGGAGATCTTCACAGGTTACCAAGAGTTTTTTCTCATTCCTTGAATTTGTCACAGACAGCAAATCATTCAAATAATTGATATTTTCACCATTAGATAAAGATTCACTTGTTTTCCTCAAACTGGCAGTTGTTGATGCATCAATTACATTTACATTTATGGCAACAGAATCTGTGGTTAGAAATGAGTTTTGGTTAATTTTATTAAGGTTAAACTCATCATTTTTTGCAGGGGAAGCTGCATCTGTATTCATATTTAAAGTAGGCACAGAACCAATTTTAATAACGGAATCTGAATTGGATGATACAACAGGAGTATCCTGCGGTTTTGAAGATCCTAAGATTGTAGTTGCACTATGGATCTTATCAGAAACAAATCTTGAAAATTCCTGGGGATCCATTTCTTTAATGGTATCAATAACAGGATCACTAAAATCATTATCTTTTTCTACTTTCACCAGACCTGATGCAAACATATTCATCATAGATTCCACTGGTGGCAAGCTATGATCAAAAATATTACCAGAGGTCTCTCCAGCATTACCTACAGCTTCAGCATAAATATTTCCCGAGTTCCAAATATCTGAAATAAAAACAAATAACTAAGTTTACATAAAGAAGAGTAAAACCCAAATTTTGGTATTAAATCTCTATTTAGGAAATAAACAACAATGGGAAATAAATTTACAATGAAATATTGAAAGAAAAAAATTTCTTTATTATGTCGTTTTCAAAGTTACTGAATCTTTGCAACTTATTAGTCTTCTGTATTGCTAGTTGATCATTGCACAATATCATAAGAAATGCAGAATGCACTAATCATCGCACATGATATTGATTTGAATCTGTTCTATGGTCTACAACAAGACATAACAGAAAGTGTACAGAATGTTTCCATTGCTCCTCTCAATGCACATAGTTTCACAATGAGGCTATCATTAACAACGAGCCATCGTCATGAACATTTGTAATGGTGCTGCAGCAAGCCAGGAGTTTCCTGCACAAAAACTTGGAGACTTCGGGAGCTTTTAACACTGCAGGTGATGCCATTTTAAATAACCTCCAAATTAATTTAAATTTACATTATATGATTTAGGTTATTAAACTATTTAAAATATGATTCTCATGTAATATATAATAATAAATTACAAAATCTGAGATCTGGATGTTCAACATTCGGAATGATCTAAAATCCAGATCTCAAAGCCACCACCACCATTTTTTTTTTTTTTTCTATGCTTTATGCATGTTCATTTGATTTTTCTTTCCTTCATAATAAATCATGTGCATAGTCCTTAATTTCACTTCAGCAAAATATAAAATACTTCGCTATTAAAGAAACAGTCATTTTAGCATAAATTTGTGTGATCAATAATTTGGTTCCATAGTTGTGCATATGGTCTCAAACCAAAACATTCTACACAGAAACATTGTTGATTTTACAGCTACTAATATTTTACATCACTGATGTCAATATGGCGAATCATCATTTATTAGACCAAAGGGGCAATTTGCCCAGAAAGACTATACACTTTGTTTTGGCATTTTGCGTTGGTTCACTATAAATGTCAGTTCACTTTTCAAATTGTTGCCACCAAATATTAGAGCCCTGTATTATATTTAAAGAAATTAAATAATGAAGAATTTGCCTAAATGTATGCATGTTTCCTGCATTGTGATAAAACAACGGTACCTAAAGCCATCAAATTTTAAACAACGTACATTTACACCCAAATATGGGCATCTGGAAGCCCAAATTTGGAATTTCTTTTATTATCTATTTCATATTTTGTAAAACTTTAATGAATTCATGATTAACAAACTCAACGATTTCAAAGCGAGCAATGGCAACCCTGTGCCGGGGGAAAAAAACATTTTTATCTTCAGCGCGCAAGACTGTATATCGGAAATTCTAAAGATATGCTTATTTTAACCCGTGAGTGCACGCACTGGGTATAGTGGACCTGCGTGATTAAACAAATGTTTCTCAAAATACGCCTATTTCACGCAAATTGTTGAGGTTCAGCGCAGTCATGTCTGAGGTCAACCTCTTTATGTTTCCAAAGTTTTTTCACTGGAGCTTTGATTAGCAGTCATGATTTTGATCGGATTGGGCCTTTTAGACACAGCGTGCCTATTCGTATTACTATTAAATAGTTGATTTGTGATAGTATAGAAAGCAGGAAACATGTCACGTAATTTATCTTACAAGGAAGAAATGTTGCAAAAGTTATTACATGCATCAACTGGCAAAGAATGTGTTGAAGAAAATGAGGATGGAAGTGATCCTGAATTTTGAGTTCAGATGATACTAATTATCAGAAACTGATATAGATTGTGAAATATAAATTGCTTTATTGGAGGAAAAAATTATCGGAAACGATTAAAAAAATCGCAGAGTTATCCAGCGAAAAAGCACACAAAAACGAAAATGCGCTGCTCCGAATGTGAAAAACATTTCTATTTGGAACACACAACACTTAGATCATTGCTAACATTTGTTGTTGCTAACATTTGTTGTTAACATTTGCTGCTAACATTTGTTGTTGCATTTTTTCTCGATGTCTACTGTGCTAAGAAGTAAATAAAGAATCGAACAGAGTAAAAAACAGAGCTAATAACGAAAATAAAGAATCGACACAGAGATACAGTGTTTTTTTTCCTATGCTAATATATAATATGATTTGTTATACCTTTAAGAAATTTTATTTCATAAAAGCATTTGCAAAAAATTAAACTTTAATGTTTAATTTTTTGCAAATAATAATGATTAATTTTAATGTGCATATTTTGATCATAAAATTTCTTATTGGCATAGATGTAACCCTTTTTCGGCAGATTTACAATTTTTTCTTCAAAAAATACGAATGGGGTCGTAACTCATATAAGTGAGCACACTCCGATATATATATATATTTTTCCAGGTAGCTGCCAATTTAAATTTTTGTTTTTTAAATTAATTTTGCATACTTTTGATGCACATCTATAGCGATGGGTTCTTGAATATAGTTATGCAAGTCTGAAAACAAAAACTTACTTAAAATTTTCCTAGAAATTTAAAATTTTAAAAATAATTTGTTTTTATGCACTTTGATGATGCAACCCAGCTGAAGATACTTATGTAAAAAGCTTTTGAAATTGATTTAAATTCAATATTATTATTTTATGGAAAAAATTTAGCAAATATAACACTGCATGTGTAAACAGTATTATGCTGTAACTGAAATAGTATAATGCTACAAGGAGATATGTCTCAAGCGAAAAATAAAAACTTGAAAAATGAAACACTATGACTCAGTTGAAAAAGTATGCTGCATTTTTGAAGTTATTATATTGTTGCGTTTTTCTTTTCTTCTGACACCAGTTGTTACGTTATTTTCTTCCTTCACGTTCGTACGGAGTTCGTGTGGATTTGCAGTGAATTACGACGACACTTGATGAAGTATCGAAACACACTTTATTTGCCAGTATTGTCAGGACAGCTCCAAAACACGTTTTACAGTCATCGATGAACTACTATAAACACACTGACATGATCAGCGACACAGCCTTCAGGTTATCAGGCTATCATAGTGGAGACAGCTTCACTGCAAAGCACCAAAGTACAGCTCCCGACTCTGCTCGGTCGTTCTCGGAACTCCACATACACTCAAGACTCTCCACGCTACAACTCGCGACTCACTCGACGACACACAGACCACGAGTCCCGACTCTTCTGTTCAGTCATTCCCGGAGCTCAACACGCCCTCTCGACGGTGCACTAACCGTGATACACTAACAGACTCCTTCGATGCATTCGACGACCCACTCGGCCCTCGCTGCCAACTCTATCAACCCGCTAAACGAGACACATTCTCGATACTAACTAACTGCGGACCAGCAGGGTTTATATAGCTTTCGGCTTGTGTTTGAGAACATTCTGAGCTAAACCGGTAAGAATTCATTCCAGAAGGTTCTCCATTCGTCCATGGCATATAGTCAACTTTGTCGCCAAATGGGCTATTTCTCGCCAAATATGGCAACCTGCCTTCCCCTGCCATTTTATGGCAACCCTAAAGCTGCTTTGCGGGGAAGCCATCTTACCGCGCCTGTACATTTTGTAACATTGCCCCCTCCCAAGGACTGCATGTCTCGGGCAGTACAATCCTTGGTCAGATGCCAACTTCGATACAATCAAAACATAAAACAAACAAGTAACATAACTAAAGAAACAAATATTTATACTACAGTCAAAAGTCTTTAATCTGGACTCGTCGGGACTTTGGCGATTCTGGATTATCGGTTTTTCTGGATTATAGATCATCAGTTTAAATCTGGTAAGATAGCATGCAGAAATTATAAAATTAAAAATATGAAACCGTAATTTATGAAATAAAGAGCAATTATGATCTAAAGGATATCAAAATTTACAAAAAAAAAAGCTTTGTTTACTTTATTAAACATTTCTTTCAATGCGCGCATGCATAAAGCATACATTACGCATAGTCGAATTTAGAAAATTGAAACCAGAAAACTATTTGATGTGTATTCCTGATATTTATAATGACAAGGAATTTGACTTAAATCATATCAAAGACGGATTACATCGAGATGAAATAATACATTTAGTAAGGAATTATGAGCCGAATAAAATAAAAACATCTGCCCTGAAGATAAGGATAGTGCTGACAGATCAACTTCCAGTTCATTGCGCGTAGCGATGTTCCCCCCCCCTCCCTTCCGCAGAGCAGCGTGAAATTTCAGAATGGTTAGAGAAACAAATCACCTCTCTGTCTATTTCTTCATGCCTTTATCCATTTTTTGAAGCAAGCAGTTCCACCTTTTGTTTAATGGCTATCGAAACATGCTTTCGCTTTACAGATTCTTTGGCAGCTCCAGCATCTAGTTTCTTCTGTAAGCTCCCCTTTTACCTGTCGAAGTTGCTCTCGCACATTTTCTTGGCCGACATTTATTTCTTCAGATTGGGTTTTCTTCTCTTTAAGTCCGGCTTTCATCTCTTTCAGTCCAGCTTTGATCTCAGCTGTCATCTCTTTATATTCAGCTTTTATCTCAGCCAGTCCGGCTTTCATTTCGGCCTTCATCTCTACATATCCGGCTTTTATCTCGGCTAGGAAGTCCATCAAAGTCTTCATTTCCTCTGCTATGGCTTTCCTCTGCAGGTGAGTCAATGGCATTCACTCGCAAACCCCACTCCTGACACCAATTGTTACGGTTTTTTTCTTCTGACACCAGTTGTTACATTATTTTCTTCCTTCACATTCGTACGGGGTTCGTAGAATTTGGAGTGAATAACGATGACACTTGATGAAGTATCGAAACACACTTTATTTGCCAGTATTATCAAGACAGCTCCAAAACACGTTTTACAGTCATCGATGAAACTACTATAAACACGTTGACACGATCAGCGACACAGCCTTCAGGTTATCAAGCTATCACGGTGGAGACAACTTCACTGCAAAGCACCAGAGTACAGCTTCCAACTCTGCTCGGTCGTTCTCGGAACTCCAAGTACTCTTGAGTGTTACAAAATGTACAGGCGTGGTAAGATAGCTTCCCCGCAAAACAGTTTTAGGGCCATAAAATGGCAAGGGAAT